CACCTAGAATTAATGTTCACCATCCATGCAGGGATTCGATGTTGGTTTCTTCGTAAAGGAGGATGGTTTTTTAAGACCAACAACAAATGTGATTCATGGGGTGGTTCCAGGACTTACACAAAAAGAGCAATAGAGGCTGATACTACTAGAATTGCAGCTACTGTGTAATATGAAAACAAAGCTGAGTTGTTTTCATGAAATAACATTGTGAAAGAAACCGTCTTGAAAGCCTGTGGGAAAAGATTGATCATGCAGTACATGAGAATCGATGTATAACTATGGGTTTTTTGAAATGATCAAATTGATGAGAAAATGACCCAATCTTGCTGAAAATTACATGCACTGCACACTGAAAGGTACATGAAAATACACATGAATATTTGGTCTAAACTTTTCAACTGTTTTCAAATTCTAAATATGGGGACATACAGAGAGCAGATGTTTTCAGCTCACATGCCTATTATATAAATGATATTCTTCTTAAGTGTAATAAAAGAAGGAGAAAGCTCATGAATTATGTCATCTTTAAAAGAACTCATTCTTCTCTTTCAACCAATCTTAACATTTTGACATCTTGAGTAGATTTTATGGCTTTCCATACTTTTCTCTCTCTCTCTTAGTTCAAAATATATTATGATATATAATTTATATTTTTCAGCTTTTTACACTTGTTATTCGTTGCCTAGAGGCCAGGAGTCGACTGTATAGAAATACAGTAATGCTTTTATTAATGCTGTAAGAGGAATGTGAATCCATATGTGAAAAACATGAGGTAAAAGGAAGCCCTTTTTGCTTGCTCTCTCTCATTCTCCAAATGCATTTATGCATGCAGCCTGCATTTTATTTCTGATTTTTTAATGAATTTTTGACTATCAATTTCATAAAGAAAATAAAAGACGCTGCTATGATGGGAAATATAGCAAAGCAATTATTTTCATATTTTACGGAATTCACAAATTATGTTTCCATAATCTTCATAATTTAGGAGTTTGAATTTTCATCTTGATATCATAACACAATTGTTGTATTAAAATGTGCTGCTAAGACATAGACGAGCTAAATAGCTTCATTACTGTGTCAGTAACCTGTTGATGAAAGCAACTATACATCAAAATAAAGGAGTCTTTATATACATTGTACATTTAAATTGCTGAAACTTCTCCAGCTATCTCCAAGCTCTCTAGCTAGCTGGAATTCTTATCCCCTCGTTTTGCGCTGCATGATAGTATACACATCCCCCAAGCTATTCTCGGGCATTGAGATGCTGGCCCGGGATCGGAACCCTCACATTCGTCTCACGCTTCAACTGAAGAGGTCCTCGTGCAGTGAGCCACTATCTCCTTTCAATACCATTGCCATGACAACCACGGTATAGGACGCAAGTCGGATGATGGGTATCGGGGAGGAGAGGAAATCAGATTCAACCGGGCACAAACCTCATCGTCAAAAGTCAGGAAGATGGAAAGGAAAAGGGCTATTGCGTTCCTGGTTCTAGAAAAAAAAAAGCAGTTTATCGAGGCTATTTTGTTTGTGAGAGATGGGCTATACATATAATCTTCATTGCGATAAGATGGAAGATAAGATTGGCACTGAAGGAACACTATAAAACAATATGCTTAGGACTTCAACAAGTGTATTGCTCAGCTATTTTGTTTCTGTCTTTGCTTGGTTTCAATTTTGGTTGTATTGGGATTATTAAGTTCAAAAGAAAGCTAAAGGTTCATTAAAGGTTAAAGTAATTATATAAGATTAAAAGTTGCTGTGTTTTGGTCCAGGACTAAATTTAAGTGCTGGTATTGGAAAGTTTTAGAAAGAACGTAAATCATATATACATTATTTTGCTCTAAATTTACATCCTGGGGATTTTCCTTTATCTTGTTGTACTGTTAAGGGAATGTTCCAGTTTAAATATTTCTCTAATTTTTTTGTAATATTATTGCCAGGAGGATAACTATTAAAACAAAATTTGAATTACATGGGAATATATTTTAAAAGGTGGAATCTACAGAGGTTTTTAAAGCTTGTTTGAAAATTGAATTCCACAATTTGAAAAAAGGGTGTACCTGTATTAAATTAAAGCATACATTACACAAGAGCACTTTGCGTGAGCCTTACCAATATTTTATTTTCCTAATTACTGTATCTTATTCTTCAACTCGGCTACATGTACATGGAAGCAAAATTAAAAATGTAAAAACTCATGTCTTGAACACTCTTATAATATGGAACTATAACATAAAAGTCTTAATCTGAGTGTTGTACAGTTAACAATATCATGCCCCTTGTAAATTTGATTTTGATTTTTTTTTTTTTTTGGGGGGGGGGGTTGGGTTAGGTACCTCAAGAATGAAAGGTGTACTGGTTGAATTAGGGTCTTTGTTGATTACTTTTAGATGTATTCTTTAATATGTCACATTTTCAATAAATATAAATCAGGACATAACAGTTTTTTTTACATACTTGAACAAATTAAAAAAAATTGGTGAGGGTATGATTAATTCAGTTAACTGTTAATGTTATATTCTAACTGTAAATGCTACATACAAGAACATAACATTTGAAGTACATGGTAGTATATGTTCTACTGGTATGGGAAAGGATGCTTGAGTTACACAAGTTCAGATTTTCTGCCAAACTTTATATTGTTTTTTAAAAAGAAGCACAGCAAAGTGTGTAGGACCCACTTTGAAAATGTATGCACATTTAAGTTATGAATGTTAATGAGGATTACAACAATGTAATAGATATATCCAGTGTGCAGATGTTCACTTTGCAGGTGTTCACTCTGCCATTTTTAGCATAGGCTGCTGAACCCGTGCTGGTATCTCCTTGGTCTTATCATGGGAGAAACGGTTCTCATCAGGTGGGAGAAATAAGGGGGGGGGGGGGTAAAATGACGGAGCAAATCACGTTTTGGAGGAGTTTATCCCCCCCCCCCCCCCCTCCCCCCTCCCTCTTTGGGTTCTTCCCAATGTTAGCCATTGAGGGTTGATAATCTTTTCACTGCATTTTCTTTCCTTTTTTTCCTCCCCCTTCTCGCTCGCTTGCTCGCTCGCTCTCTCTCTCTCTCTCTCTCTCTCTTTCTTTCTTTTGTTATTTAATTGGCGATGGCCCCTATATCCCCTTTGTGCTAGGCCTATGCATCTAACATAAATGCTTCTTTTTCTTGTAATTCTTATTCCTTCACTTTTATAATTTCTATTAATTGGGTGGAATGGAGCTGTTTACACTGACAGATAACATTGCTTTTATGTCAAAAGCAATACAGAGATGTGTTTATGTCATCTTACATAGTCAGAAATAATCTTAACATTTTATCTTAATTTACTGAAGATCCTTTCTGTGTCCAGAAAAAATGTTCAAAATATAATATGCAAACTTGTGTTGTTGTTTCTTGTATTATATTATTCAACGAAACTTCCATGGCTCATATTTTTGCCTTAAAAAATTGTCCAGGAAATTACGTGAACGCAAAGTGGGCGCGTGTGCACTCGCTTGGCCCAAGAGAAGGAGAATGTTTTGCTTGTGTTGTTGTTTCTTGTATTATATTGTTCAACGAACTTCCATGGCTCATATTTTTGCCTTAAAAAATTGTCCAGGAAATTACGTGAACGCAAAGTGGGCGCGTGTGCACTCGCTTGGCCCAAGAGAAGGAGAATGTTTTGCTGGTTGGTAGAACTGAACCTTGAAATTTTCTGCCGTGAAGTGGCTTGAAGAGGCCCTAGTCCTGGCGCCTGATATCAGCTTTCAGCCCCGTTGCTATGGGGATGAGAAGAAGGGCAGGGCGAGAGAAAGTAGAATGACTTGGGGCAGTTCTAAGCACCAGTATTGATGACAATCGTTTTGTCTTTCTCTCTATCTCTTTCTCTCCTCCCTTACTCGCCAATTTTTTCAGTGCTTGATGTCCTGGTAAATCTTGAAAGTTAAAAGATAATGCAAAACATTTAAGTATAAGTATTTATGGACTTCCATATTTTTTTTTTTTTTCATTCTGTTTCTGCTGTTTCCTTTTTTTTCTTTTCTCAACAATACCGTGTATTGTGGGTTGACGTTCATAAGGCTAATTGTCCTTTTTGTTAACCCCACATTCCCATAACATTTTGTTTGCTCCTTCTCTTTGTATTTTTCTTGTTATCGATCTTTTTTCTGTATAGCATGTTTGTATGTTTAATGTTTTTTATGGATAATGAAATAAATGAAATGGTTCAGTTTTCAGGGAAATATACTAAGATATTTCTTTGCATTATTTGTTATCCTACATGTATATGCTCTTTCTAAAATATATTTTTAATTCATACATATTTCATTTGTTGTTTAGTGCATAGTACCATTTGTATTAAGATTCATATTCCAGACATTCTCAATGGTTACAGTGTCGATCTCACAGGCCGTTTGACAACTTTCCTTAAGGTTCACTAGATCAAACTTCTTTTAAAAGAAATCCCAATTTTTGATATTAAATGCAATATATTTATTACATATACAGGGGTTTTATTTGAATAAATTTACAAGAATGATATATTGAAGGTGATTTTAAAGACCGTCAATACTACTGGGCCAGAAGGAATTAGACCACCCAGCCAGGTCACTGACAGGTGGCTATCTCATCAACTCAGCTCTCAACTAACATAAGAAAAAGAGGATCATGGGGGACCAACAGGCACCGATTGGGGAAGTTTTTTATATAGAAGGAGCATGTAGCTAGTTAGCTACAAGTAGGACAGTGGGGCTTTAAAGAAAATATATTCTTCAAAATGGAAGTTTACAATTATTTACAAAGGTGTTAATTGATTTGCAAACTAATTAAAAATTGGATTTTACAAACTTTAAAGACTTGTCGCCTTTTTATCCTCAATAGGATATTCTTTCACTAGCTTTTTCTGAAATTAGCAAGATACCAAGGTGGACAGTCCCTTCCATCTTGAGACCCTGCATTGCTTTGAATAAAGTACAGTGTAGTAAATATTCCAATTTTGTATCATCTCGTCCTTTCCTCCCAGAAATCAACAGTCCAACCTAGGATGGAACCGCAACCAGCAATCGCAGGGTCAGGCCTACCACCAGAACCAGCCCCGCTCCCATAGCTATGGGGCACATAATAACCAAGGTTATGGTGGTTATAACCAGCAGCAGCAGGGCTATGGGGGACAGAGTCAGCAACGACAAGGAGGAGGAGGAGGAAATAGCTATGGCAACAGAGACAACAGGAATCAAGGATGGCAGGTGAGTTATGGATATTAAATATCAAGATGAAAGCGGGAGGAAGTAAAGTATATGAATCTAGGAAAGAATGAAGTAATAATAATAATAATAGTACATAATATTTATAAGGCGCCAAATCCTATAGACAATCAAATGCTTGAGGCGCAGCTTGTGCAAAAGATGAAATAAATGATAAATATATACAAACGTGCAATAGGAAAGGTACAGACATGAAAGGTAATGGTAATCAATTATAGCTAAATTAAACAGATATTTCTTAAGATTGTTTTTAACACTTCAGCAGAACTGCTATTTTTAATCATAAATATTAAAGACTTACTGCATTTGCCTTTTCGCTTGCTCATGCTAATTTATCTACAATTTCTTTTTAGATACATGTATGACATTTTTTATGCCTCCGTTACGAAGTAGCCGGAGGCATTATGTTTTCGGGTTGTCCGTCCGTCCGTCCGTACGTCCCGTTCTCGTGATCGCGTTATCTGAAGAACCGATTGACGGATTCCTGCCAAACTTTGGTCATGTATGTATCTTGCAGAGCCGATGAACTGATTAGATTTGGGGGTCACGAGGTCAAAGGTCAAAGGTCACAGGGCTCATTATGTATGCAAAAACAGCTCGTGATCGCGTTATCTGAAGAACCGATTGATGGATTCCTGCCAAACTTTGGTCATGTATGTATCTTGCAGAGCCGATGAACTGATTAGATTTTGGGGTCACGAGGTCAAAGGTCAAAGGTCACAGGGCTCATTATGTATGCAAAAACAGCTTGTGATCGCGTTATCTCAAGAACCGATTGATGGATTCCTGCCAAACTTAGGTCATGTATGTATCTTGCAGAGCCAATGAACTGAGTAGATTCTTGGGTCATGAGGTCAAAGGTCAAAGGTCATGGGCTCATTATGTATGCAAAAATAGCTTGTGAACGCATTCTCATTAGAACTGACAGATGGATTACTATTTAACTCGGGACATCTTGCGGAGCCAATGAACTGAGTAGATGTTAGGGTCATGAGGTCAAAGATCAAAGGGTCATATATGTATATGAGAAATTGCTTGTAATCACGATATTCTGAGAACCTGTTAATGGATTACAATTGAACTTGAATTTGAAAAATTTCTTCTGTTTTGGTTTGTAAATTGCTCTATGACGGAGGCATCATTTCGACTGCGCGCAGTCGAAGTTCCATCTAGTTTATTATGTGACAGAAATCAAGGTCATCCTTATTTTCTTCATGCTTAAAGGGATGTCCACCCCCCCCCCCCCTAATGTAAAGTTGGTTTTAATGGAAACAGAGAAAGTATAAATATGTATCAGTGAAAAACTGAGTGAAATCTGTTTAAAGATAAGAAAGTTATGAATGTTTGAAGTTGCAAATGATCAACACAAATTTACCTCGGCTATAAAAGCTATCATGTTGAAAAATTTCTTTCCATAAAGTAACATAAGCACAAACAATCTTGGATTTGGATTTCCTTGTGCTTCTTCTTGCTAAATATTTTGATATTCATTTGAATTGTAAACTTACAAGTGTATGGCTTGGCTTATTTTGACATTTATGGTTTCCTTGTTTCCTTCACTTTCTTGTTGAGTAAATGAATAACAAATCTAGATCTGTTCAAGGTCTCCCTAGGATTTGTCCTACTCCATATTTTTATAATCCTTTCAATTGTAAACTTGTGTATGGTTATATTTATTAGTAGTGCTATTTTAAGATTCAGGATTATCTGTTTACTTTTTATTTGACTGAACAATCCAATTTCATTAAGGGTTGCCTTCTTATATTTCTTTCTGAATCTGTATAAAATCCTTTGGAATGAAAACTCAAGTATGTTCAGATTACTTTGTTCTTACTCTTACAAAATTGAGGGGTTTTCCATTTGTTTGGTGTTTTTTAAAACCAAAAGTAGATGAATCAAAATCTGTTCAGGGTTTTCTCTATCATTTTCCTTGCAAGTACTTTTTGTAATCCTTTTAAATGGAATCCTTTATATGCTCGCCCTTTTTTTGTAATACAATTATTGTAACATTTTTTTGGTTAACATAAATAAACAATTATAAATCCATTCAGGGTTCCCATGTGATTCTTCTTGTTATATCTCGCTGTAATTATTTGAAAAATAAATGTTTAAAGCTCAGCATTCCTTGTATTATTAGTTCAGATTTTTTCTCCCTGTTTTTTTTACATAAATAGACAATTCAAATATGTACAGGGTTTCCTAGAGGTCACTCCCACCAGTGTAATAATCCCTTGAAAATGTAAATGTGTATAGATAGGTCTTTACTTTATTAACTTTACTATTATCTTCTCGTCTTCAAAATAAAATTGGCCTTGTTTCCCTTCTATCTCTCCGTTCACCTGATGCTTCATTCAGTGTAGAAGTGGGAGGAGGGGAGGAAGTAGTGTACTTCAAAAGGATATTACAAATATAATGAGCACTTCATGGATTCTAACTACTACATTAAAGTACCTCAAGGATAGTGTAGTGATAGTATCATCTAAAGTACTCTGGCCACTGGTTTAAAGGCAGAGTCTCACTTTGTACTAGAATGTCATTTGATAGTTGGAAAACCTTTTCCCGTCTTGATAGGTTGAAAATTATAATGAAATTTAGACAATTCAAGTAATTAGATGGTTATATCAGAGAGATTCATGAGGAATCTGCATTATATTTGTTAAAGTCAAGTAAAGCCAAATAATTAGCTTGATATTGCCATATTTGGAGAAAAAAAATTGTGTTCATTTTTAGATCTTCTTAACAAATATTTTTTTTTGTGAGAAGACAGGGAATTATGTACAGACGAATGGAAATGTATGAGGATGTGCTGGTATTGTTCCAATAATCTGTAATTTAAATCTTTAGCAACTAAACCGCCCGAAACCACCCCTCCTTTTACTAACTGAACCGTCCATTTTCGTCCGTTTTCAACTCGCTGTAGTATCCTTCTATGGGGTCTACCGTGATAACATTACAGTATATGTGCGTAATCCTTGCGATGTCTAGAGTAGGATTCTGCATAGAAAAATACCACATGTTTCATATTGTTCAGAACAATGTCAAAATGAGAGCAATATTGCAAGTTACATCCAGTGAGTAATAGGCCATTTTTACAAAATCTCTATTTGTTAATGGGTTAAGGTATGGCTACATTGTTATCTTACGTGATGCTGTTAATCATATCTAATATAATATTGGACCATAGAAACCAAGCTAATCAGCTATTAACCTGGCATTAGCCCATTCCAACCAGCAGAAATACATGCATGCTACCTGTTCAATTTCAGCTTCTCATCTCCAATTACCAGCTACTTATCTTTATTAATTGACATGTAACTGGGGTTGATCCTACTGTGATTTAGGAAGGCTGTAATCTAAGCTCATCCTGTTGAATTGTAAGGGTTGGTCCGCTTCCTGATTCTTATGATAGTTCTTGATTTGTTGAAACTTGAAAGGGTAAATATCAGATTTACCAGTTCTGTGATCAGATTAACATAATCAGATTCCCAGATTTCACTCTCCCTTTAGTGATTGTATTAGGGCTATGACTTTGTTGTTACATCACAGCTATCTCTGTGCAGCTTTGAGCTTCCTTTGTTCTAAGTTTAAACACACATTAATTAATCATCTGTAAAAGCTCATCCAGAGAAAACATACAATTGTACTGATTTCTTATGAAATAAACTGGAAAACATCAAGTTTAGATTAACGTGGAACAATGTGGAACAAAGATCTAATACCTCCAAATACTTTCAAATTGAATTACATAATTGATTAAGCAGTTTTGCATGTAGCCAAGCTAAATTTTAGTTGCAAGATTTCATTGATTTTGCTTAAATCTTGAAAGGATACATAAAAAACAGTCAACATTGTATGCATATCCAGCAAATGTGGACTGCTACTTTTGGTATTAAACCATGCCTAGAGCATATTTTGCAATACCACCTATAATATTAGAGATAATGGTTTACTTTTCAAGCTCTAGTAAATTGATAAACAGGCATTAAAATTAGTCAGTCTACTCACTAATCTTGTCATGATGTTATTGTCTTGAAAATGTCAAATTTTATGACCACTATGGCCATGCCCTTTTGATGTTATGTAACAAATGTTGACACATGAGCCCCATGACTGGTTTCCATAAATGGTAATTTTCTCAAAAGATGGTGTAACGAAAAGTTGGTTGTTCTTTATTGAGATAGATGTATTGCAAAGTTTAGCTTTAAGAATTAACATAATACTTTGTAAGTTTAACGTTAAGTTTATCTTTTTATGCATTAGCATTCATCATTTAGATAAATGAATGTATTTTATAGTTTAGCTGAAGAATTAACTTAAGTTAGAATACAGTATAAGATTAAATACTCTTCTATAGGTATGACAGAATATCTTTCCAAAGTGCTTCAGATAGAAAGAAACATAATGAAATCAAACATAAGGTGATACTTGTCTCCAAGAAATCTGTAGGTAATTGTGGCATTTTCCCCTGAAACGTATTTTGTGGAAAAAATGCTTGGAAAACAAAAGAAATTTACAAGAGTTCAATTGTTTTATATCCAAGATTCAAAGCACAAAATGACAATCTTTTAATGATACTTTTTTGCCTGCAATTTTTTCCTTATGCTCTTTGAAGAAATTTTAAATAGACTTCATTTCAGTCGCTATCATTTGTACCAAAAAGGTTAAATAGCAACTGTAATTGTTGGATCATATGTACATATACTTCCATCTTCATGTGTCTCTCTTTGAAGGTTTCCTGAATAGTTTTGCCCCTCATTGTTTTTATAAGTTCAAAGCAGGAGAGAGGGAATAATGGGACTACAATGATGTCAACAAAATACTCTGAAAATAAAGACTTTAATGCCTTAATATGTCTTGCTTTATGGATAATACCGGTACATGTATGTTTTGTCAAATTGCTTTGATTTACGTGATAGTTCATGCTGGTATTTGTCATGCATAATTTTCTACATGTGCTATAGAATTTATTATCAACATCATCAACCACAGTAGTTGGTTTGTATCTCACTTTCCCTCTGGGTTTTGCATTTCTGTTTTGTGGGTAGACTTCTGATTAATCCAGAGGGCAGAATTTGAGCCATTTCCTTTGCATCGTTAAATAAACAATTCCTGATGAGATCAATGCGTGTCAAAAAAGTTGACTGTTGTCGTAGAAGCTTGCCCAGACTGAAATTCTGAATAGCTGTGAGCCACCGATTTCAATAAACGAGAGGGCAAAATTTGTGTTCTTAAAAGTGTTAAATTTGAATTTAGAGCAAGTTTTATTATTTAGTAATCGCTGCGCTGACGAGACCCGGGTTTGCCACAGCTTTTTAGGGGCGAAGAATCGGCGTGGCGTACGCCGAGACCGGGCATGCCGAACGCGCTAGTTAGAGGGGCCAATGAAATTGCGTCTCTCCCCTGCCAGGAAGCGCACAAGTAGGTACTTGTGGTTGTGTATGCCATTAGCTACGCATCCCCACAAGTCCTTGAGATTCAAGAGCGGGCACTGGAGCGCTTTTATGCCCGTAAACCTACACCAGCAAATTGCTGTAATTACACTCCTTATTTCTCTCTACCATGACTATAGGTAATGTATCTCAACTTTCACCCCCCCCCCCTCTTATTTGCAGCCCCACTTGTCTAGAATCACCCCCCCCCCCCAGGAGCACAGCCAACAGGTATATCTGTCCTCTGACATGAGCGGCCTTTATGGGGGCCATTCTTCTGAAGTTCTGATAATACATCAGAAACATGCGCTCGCAGGAAAAGAGAAAATAGAAATTAAGATGAAGTGTCTGCGGCCATGAGCAAAGTGCCGCAAAGGATTGGTGTTGTTCTCTTCAACTTGATGAAAGTCAGTTATGAGCCTTGTTATAAGCTTCTCCACTCAACCTCTCTCACTTCTCCCCTCCGTGATTAGGGGGTATCTTGTCCCTGATGAAAGCCGATAGTCTCTAATCCTAACTGGTTTCCTGTAGATTTTCTTCGGTAGGGCTGCCCCAGCCAGCACCCTGAAGAAGACTGCCATTGTGGGGGTTCCGTTACCCTACGTGCCTGCATGTGACGCACCTCCCTCCCACGCCAGCCAGCCAGCAACCTGCATATTCATGCACCTATTTGTGAGACTAAGAGTGGCCAATGCTGGGTGAGATGGAGCGTGAAAACGTCGGGAGTGACTGACTGACTGATGGGGGAGAAAGAAGACCCTCTGTCTTGTTCTGCACTGTTAGGCGCTTCTTTAGGAGATTGATCAATGAATTCAAAAGTATCTAAAATGCTGCCATTAGCATCATCCCAGCAGTGCAGCGCTCTGTCTCGGTGTGAGTTGTACTCCTTGTACTTGCGGAAAACATTTATTGGAATTTCAAATTGGCCAAGTCATAGGTCCTGATCAGTTTGCCTGCACTTCAAGTGCAGCTGAGGTGGTTTAAGTAATTATTCAGTCTTTGTATTACTCTGCTTATCACAAGGGATTGTATGCATAAGCCATTGACTTTCATTCAAGCACGGCACACAATATTTCTCCCAAGCTCTTCCCAAAGCAAGAAAAAAAAAGTAGCTTGATAATTGTTAAGGATGGGGCGATTGAGACGTCATTCTCGGCACTCCTCGCCACTAGCATCACACACTTCCACTGCAACGGGCTCCCGTATCGGATGTCGCGCCCCCGCAGCGCGGAACCGCGACAAAAGCCGGGGCCTATTGTGAGCCTGGACTGGTACAAAGACGATTTGCAAACATTGGGACTGTGGGCCGACGGCTGTACTGATTCCTGAGGGGGGCCTTGTAATGGAATCCCACTTCCAGGAGATCAAATTCACGGCTAATACCACGTGGGGAGCTCCCAGATCTTACCAAAATCTTTTATTCCAGGGTTTAGTCGTTATACAACTTTCCATTTTGTTTTTGATGTAAATGTCGTGCACGTGGGCTCACCCTATTAGACTTTTTTGCCCAGGAGTGTGATCTTTTCTTGATTGCTGTCTCAACCTTAAAAAAAAAAAAAAAAAAATGAAGTCAATCCCCTCCTTGCATCCCAATTCCCCTCCAAGCAATTTGACATTTTCAATATTTATGAATCATATTTTCCTCTAGTTTAAATATATATTCAGTAGATTTTTTGGAGTGAGATATATTGAAGCTGGTGAATCAGACTGTTTCATTGCAAAATTGCAGTTTAGCATGAGAACTGTATTGGTATTATATCTATAAAATATGGAAGAACATGTCCAAATATCAATATATATATATCGATTGATGGTAGTTGTCCAGGCTATTGAATAGAGAATTTAAAATCTAACTAATTTGATTCATTAAAAGAATGCAGAGGAGATTACGGTACAGGGTTTGGACATTACAAAGTCTCACCTCTGTCACTTCCTCTCTCTTTCTCTCTTTCTCTTTCTCTCTCCATCTCTCCATCTCTCTTCTCTCTCTCTCTTCTCTCTCTCTCTCTCTTTCTCTCTCTCTTTCTCTCTTTTTCTCTCTTTCTCTCTCTCTCTCTCTCTCTCTTTTTCACTTGCTTAACTTTTCTTTTTACATCAAATATGAAATAATTGTTTGTTTTGTCTTTCAAATTGATTTACCGTACTCCATCTTTTCCAATAAAAAATATGTGAGGTATTAACTGTTAATTCCAATCTATAAATCAATTCTATCAAAAAGTGTTCTTCCATTTGAACTGCACGCCATATATGAGCAATACCCTCGCTGATCATGGCCTGGAATTGGCTTATTTCATCCAATATGTTTAACTAGCTGGCTGTATTTAACTAGATTCTAAGCTTGAAATAAGAAGAGCGTTCCAGCCGTAGTCATAAATCAACATGTATGGTTGTGCACAATAAAGGCCCCTAGCAGAAATAGCTACCACCCTAGTATTTGCTCACCAATGATTTAGGGGAGAATGGTAATTATGGTATTGTGGATTGTACATGGTTTTGAATACGGTTTAGTTTGCAATGAGGGTCTCTCTCTGTTGACATAGCTGTCTTGTCTTCTCTCTGACCAAGAAGGAGTGCACCTACAGTACTCGCCTCGGTTTCATAATTTCCTGCACTGTCCAGCAGCATTGAAAGAATATTTAGTTTCTAACCGATTCTTAAATTAAGTTCAAAATCAGAATTTGCTGTAGCATGCCATACGGGAAGTGAGCATTTGTTTGATTGATGGTATCCCTTATTTCACAATATTGCTGTAAATCTAATTATCTATATTGAAGTATTGAATGGTCAAATAATATGGCACTTTCCATTAGTCACCTACAGTATGCAACTTTAGGTAAGACATTAGTTTAGTATCTATGAAAATATTTCCTTGTTTCATTCTACAACATTGTATTGTAAATCATGGTTGATGATTAATAGTTTTCAATCAGTTTCATATCACACTTTCTTCCGCCAAAACAATTTATTTGCCATGAAGTGTGTTGTAGAATGCAAAAATTAACTTGATTCAAAGAAGTTAATGTATTACTTTCTTTTATATAGGTAATACTTGCCTTGTATACTGGTTCTAATTGTACATTGTATGTAAAGTCAATTGATATTCAGTTACTTGCATGCTGTTTCATGAGTGCTATTTTGTGTTTTATTGACAATATAATTATATAATTATCATGTGATATCTAAAATTGTAATTACAATTTCTCTCTCTTATCTCTCTCTCTCTCTCTCTCTATTTCTCTTTTTCTTTCCCTGCCTCACTCCCTCCCTTCAACTTCCCCTACTTTCTCTTTCTCATCATATCCCCCTTTTCTTCTTTCTCTTAAATATTTTGTTAATCTATTTCTTTCTATCTTTCTTTCTTTGTGTCGCTTCTTTTCTTCCATTTTCTTTGATGTTGCTTTCAACTTTCTCTTCCTCCTCCAAACTCCTGTCTTCTGTACTATTCTCCCCTCCTCTTGACCTGCATCTCTCCCCCCCCCCCTTCACCCCTTTCACTTACTATGCCCCTCAGGGTGGAAACCAGGGAGGAGGAGGATACCCCAAGCCTCCTGGCCACTCCCAGAGGAGATACTAAGATGCCATCCCGTTGATACCGATACAGCAGAAGCATCACCATTAGTGTCCCATCATCATCATCATCTAGCTTCTGAGAGAGAGAGGGATGAGTTTCTCTAAATTTCCTCTATCAACAATACATGTATTTCGAATGTACCTTTTAACTGCCATGTTGTGACATCTTCTAAGAACGAAATGGCTTATAGCGGAAGGCATAGGTCAGGACAATGTGGCACACTCATTTTAACCAAAAGAAAAACAAATATTTCTGCTACCATCATGACAGCTCCAAAATATTGAAGAAAACTTTGCTTGATTTTTTATTTTTTCGTAGCAGTCTGTTATGCCTGTCCTTTCTGTCAGTGAGAGATTGATGCTGATTGGGAAGATAGGAATCAGTGAGGAGTTGTAATTTGAAACATACAGTTTTTTTAGATGTTGTTTCTTTAATTTCTTTTTAATGACTGAACAGCCATGTGAACCATATGTACCTGTCAGACTTTCCAGAAAAGGACTTTTGTGAAATAGGATGCGTTTGTGCAAACTGATGGAGGAAAAATTGTCTTGGTCTCTGATCAACTTATATTGGTTGAGATAGTGCTGCCAACAACAAAGATGACCATATATTTTTTGAGTAATGGGTATTAATGCTCAGATTGTGGTGTGAGAGAAGAAATGTTACTTTTGATACATGTGCAGTTTAGGATCACTATTGCTGTGATTAATTTTCATGGTTCAAAATTCTCAAATGGCATCACAATCTTCTTGGGTGAATAAAGCTGCTCAATGTTTATTCAGATTTTGTTTTATTCATGTCTGAAGATGCACATTAGAAGAATGGTATATTTATATTGTGCTTTATGTCATCCCTCTATTTCAAGTCACTCATGAATCACATTTTCTTTTTAGCAACTAAGAATGGATTTTAACAAAAAATGTCACCCGGTCTCACTTGATATCAAAATGAAGATGAGCACATTTACTTTCAGGGTTTAAAAGAAAATCATGGATTACATGACAATGTGTCAATTCCCTATATAAGCTAGTTATTACTTAATGTAAAGTCACTATTGAAACTTATTTATTAATGTGATCCTAACTGCTTGAAAAGTCAGATGATGTTGACATTAATGTGTACTACATGTATTTTTTTTTAATATGTAAGGTTCGTCTATTTCTGCAGACATGTACCTATCTACTTCTTACAGGATAAATCAACATTGACATGGACATTTAAAATTAATTCATGTGCAGTCTTAATAATAATAAGTATTATTAAAATGTTTCAAAGACTAATTGATGGAGAAAGTACATCAATTGGTTTAGTATCTTACTGTCAATTATTTTAATCTCATCAATCTCTTTTTACATTGCTGAAATAGCTCTTTGTTGTGATAGATTCTTTTCAATGATGATCCCTAAATGAGTGATGTGCCAGGGATTTGTACCATGTACCTTGTGGTTCACAGTTGAGAGGTTTGTCCACTGGACCACAGCACCTCTTTGTGCAAATCACAAGTTGTTTTCACAGCTATATGCTGAACATGCCTAGAAACACATGAAAATATGGGAGAGGATTGTAATACAATTTGTAGAAGAAATCACATTCCAAATCTTTTTAAATGGTTTTGTACTCATTTTATTTTAATGTCCTTCACAATCAGGCTACATAATTTAATATATATCATGCTCTCATATTTTCATACACATTGAGGTTATTCAAATACGTGTTTTTTTCTGTTACAGGAAAAAACAAAACATAATGTCAATGATGTATTAAAGGAAGCCTTTGAATTTGTAAAAGGAATCACAAAGATTTCCGTTGCAGGAAATTTGAAATGTAGTCTGAAGTTATTAAATATGTACCACAAGGTAAAACCCTTGTCTATTTGCCTTTCCCCATCTTTAGTTCCTATATTTCTTGTTGATCTTTATTATCTGAATTCTATCGGGAATAGAGCAATTAATCCTTTTTAATATTCAAAAGAGCCATAACAATTTATCAGAACCAAAATGTGAAACTAGAAATCAAAATTATTGTCATTTAATATTTTGTTGGGTGCTAGTAAATTTTTATTTTCATAATTTCCATTTACCAGATGGTTAGAAGATAAATGAATGAAATGATTAATGAGATCTTTCTGAACAGTGCCAATATTCTACTCTTATCTATAGTAGTAAAGTTCACACATGATGTTTAAAATATGGATACATAACTTCAAGAGTGATGCAATGTGCCATGTAAAGGTTTTTTTTAAATAATGTATGAAAAATAACCCTTGTTTTGATAATCCCCACTTGAATACATTTGCCAATTAACAGAATTTTTTTTCTTCCTTAAATCATTTTTTTTTTAAATCTGGGCTCAGACTATAGTATTTACTTTGATGTTGCAGGGACAAAATATCACATCTAAAATTTAAGTATGGGTCTTTTTCATTACAGCCATATTTAATCTTTCAGGTTGCATCAACTCTTGGGAGAAAACTAGACAATTGAGCACGTAATCATTAAAAAAAAACACACGTTGTGTAGCATGTTGTTCATAGTAAGGATTTTGAATGTGTAAATATTAAGAGAATGCAATGATTGTCTACAAACAGAAATGTTTGTTACACAAACAGAAAAAGACTTGTAAATTAAAATGTTTGAATTGGTGAAAAAAAGAATTTGTGATAGTCGTGTTCATTTTCAGTATGTCGTTTTGTGGTCTTTGTCAAGTTGCATTGTATTGTTTCATTACACATATTGATGCTGAACATATAATTTGATTTGGGGAGGGGGAAGGGGAGGAGGATGGGATACCAAATCTGCCGACATGATGTATGAACATTACTAATTAAGAAACAAATGAGAGGTCGTCATATTTAGATTGGTTGATGAAGATAGATGCCCCCCCCCCCCCCCCCCCCCCATTCCTGACAACGCCCCTGATACTAATTGTATTATTCGTGACATGTCAAAGTTGGAGGCCCGAATTCACAAAGGAGGTTTGTCGACAAACCTCGGTTCAACTGCGTCATATTACACGTTTCGATGCGTTTCATACCAAGGGTCAGACAAACCTTGGTCTGGAACGCATCATATGACGCACATAAACCTAGGTTTGTCTACAAACCTCCTTTGTGAATTCGGGCCGGAGTGTCTGAGATATGAGTAGAAGTACTTTGCACCGATAATGGTGATGAATCCATGTTTGTAGTTCCTTCGTTAGCTTGAGAAGTATATTGACTGTAAAGTTTCATTCACTTTTTGTGCATAGGAGTCTTTGAATGATGTGAATGGTTGCGATTGGATGTTTGGGAACTGGAAATTGATCGTAAAGAATACAATCACTTTAAACAGTTGTGAGCAGTATGGATCGTAATGTTTGTGAAACCGGTTCAAATATCTTTCTTTTCTTTAGTTGACGACCTCGTTGAAATGTGACTGTTGATTGATTATGGGATGAGTGGTATGGCGTTAAAAGACAACTTTTATTGCAAAGCAGGCGTAGAAAGCACACGACATGCATGTTATAAGGGATCATAATTGGTTGCAAACTTTTTGAATGGTTTATTCCGGATGGATGTCGGGCCAGGGCTATCTTTGTCATTGCTGCCCAAAACTTATTTATTTTGCGCTTGTTGATAGTAAATGATAGTGAATGCATTGTCAGTCGTACTTCTTTCTTTATAGACCCATCACCTATACTAAGTCGGTTTCTTGACTTTTATTCGATGTAAGAGTAATCTTCGTCTTGGGATATGATGTGTCGACTTTGTCTTATTCAAAGAGTAACATATCGTATGCAGAAGTCTTAATCCTGAATGAAGCAGCTAGTTCAAATCCCTACTTTTTGAAAAGTCTTGGGATCTAGCCCAAATTATAGATTAACGATTAAGGATTGCTCGATTACCTGAGTCCAACTGGTGGCTGTGTAGAACCACCGACTTTCTTTGTTCCGAGTCAACTTCAACATGCAAATATGCAGACAGTGGTCGCGGACTTCCTGCCTGCGCGTGTCTGCGTGCGCTCGCCGACTCCCCATGCAAACGAAGCGCGCACGGTATTCACTCGTTACAGTGTGAATTTGATTCCAGTGCTACCAATTCATATTTTATTCCTCTCCTCCTCCTACCTAATGCGTTCTTTATGTCTGTCTGTCTGGATCTCTCTCTCTCTCGCACTCTCTCTCTCTCTCTCTCTCTCTCTCTCTCTCTCTCTCTAGCTAGCTCTGTTTCTATCTCTTTCCATCTTTGTTTACCCTTTCTCCGTCTCTTTCTTATTCTCATCCTTTCCGCTTTTCTTTTCTTTCCTCCTCTTTTTCATGCACTCGACAGAATGATTCGTCGGATCCTTTTCCTCATAAAAGAAATGATACGATTACTTTGGAATTGATTAAAACTTTTGAAAAACTCTCAACTTTACTTGCACTAAAAATACAAGATGTATCATGATGTCCAATACAAAGATTGCGAAATAACAGTCCTATTATCTCCAAACCTTAGATTTAAATAGAATTCCACGGTACATACTTTTTAAAAATAATTATTTCTGTTATCTACTTTAAATTGTGTAGAAATGAATTATAAGGAAATCAAAAATGGAATTTTCTTCATCAAATAATCCCAACGCTAAATACTCCCAGGTCAAGTCTTAATGATAGCACTTTGATTGCCATCTACTTCATGATTTTGTTTCAATTAAAGAACGAGTGATTGTATGATTAATTTCGATGTTTCCTTGATATAGACCGGTATAGTGGTAACATTGCGGTTTAAGGGTTTTGGGTGCAAAATATCCATTCAATATTGTTTAAATATTGCCTTCAGAGGTTTAGATGGCAATACTTCAACCTAAATTCGCAAAAAACATAAATATATGTCCAAATGTTCAATGTTGAAGTGCGTTCGCGATATCTATCCAGGCCGGATCGATATGATTTACCAAATATATATCAATTAGTAGGCGGTTTCCCGGGGAAATTTGTATCATCACGTATTAGTCAAAACATTTTCTTTCACATGATTGGTAATAAGAGCTTCTATTTCATTTTTTTTGAGAGGGGGCGTTTCCAAACCTTCTCTACCTTTAAGCACATCAAACAGTAAATTAGATATTCCAAAACCACAATTAATTTTCATTCTTGGAATTTTCTGTACCGGTAATTTCATTTAGGCCTAGGAGTTGATTTCTCATGCTTCTTACATCCATCAAAAGAAGAAGAGAAAATCGTGGGAAAATTATGATATGAAGCTTTAATAGACAAGCAAAAATTAACAATTCTAATTCAATTCATGATTTGTAATGAGATTTTTCAGAATATAAAACCGTGTGAGCATCGTTGAAGATAAAGAAAATAAAGACATCGAGCTGAAGAGATGGGATTATGGAAGGAGTCCGCATTGTATGTGAGAGCGGGAAAATACCCCGAGGTAGAGAATATGTTTTCGGTCTCATCGCTGATTTTAATACACGTCAAATTGGCGCCTTCAGGCGATCAAAATCTGATTTTTGAAAAGGGTGGGAAAGTCTAATATCCTCTCTCCATAATTCTCAATATCTTACATCCAATAGCTTTTTCGTTTTAATCTTTCATTTACTCTTCGCTTTGTAATTATGTTTTTTTTTTCTTCTATCAATAGACTTATGGTTGTCAAGATTTTGAAGAAAATAAAATTATTTACAACCATAATAATAGTCTATTGTGGTTGCCAATAATTGTATTTTGTCAAGACTCTTGATAGAATACAATGATTTACAAAACCATTTTCCCTTCGTTTTGCCTTTCTTACCATCTTCCTCTCCTCGGTATTTTTATCTGTCTCTTGATAAATCACGTACCTTACGTCTAGGTTTTCTCTATAGTAGGCTATATACAGTATTTTTATTTATTTAATATTTTTTTGTATAATTAAAATTCTTCAAAATTTGACGTTGTCGATCGATATTTTCCATAATTATTCTATCTTCATTATTTTGTCTCTCTTACATTAAAACTAAGGAATGTATTTGATTATGGAAAATTATCACTTTTCATCATTTGTTATATGTAATATTATTGTCTGTCTCCTATTCCTCTCTAACTATTCCCTATTTTGATGTATTACAATAATCGTCACTCTCACTTCTGCCTTTTTTCTTATAGTCTGTCCCACCTTCCCTTCTTTCATCTTGCCCCCCCCCCCTCTCTCTCTCTCTCTCTCTGTCTCTCTTTCTCTTTCTCTTGTCTATCAATATCCCTCCATCAATCTCTATGAACATCCCTTTCTCTCACCTTCCATCTTTCTCATCATCTTCTCTCTTTCCTGTGGGATGTCGTTTGTAAGCGCTGTCATCAGTGATTTGCATTCACTCAGAAATGCGGGCCCTAGTCTCAATTACACGAGGGAGTCGCAAGTAGCCGCAAGGGAAGAGCGTGTCGAGCGGTGCTCGTACCGGCCGCCACCGGCCCTCAACCGTGTGTCGCAACCGGGCTCTTCGCCCTTTTTTTCCTCCACGGGCTGCACTGTGATAGCCCAATGACATGCTTGAGGGGGGAAAAAATCACAAATTACAACTGTAATAATGGTTGTCTGCATACCAAATGATATTCGAGGCAGAGCAGATATTCATTTTCATGCTTCTTTTTTTCCTCCACTCTCTCTACTCAATTTTCTTCAAAATTCTCCTTATTTTTAAAACGATCCTTCTGCATATCAATAAAGAGATCAATTTGCCCGAATTCGATCGCATAGATTTCACAAGCCATGAAACAACGAAGAGAATAAACTTCAAAGGCTATTTGAATTTTAATAGGCAAACTAGATATCTCCTACAAGACGACGCTCAGGTTTACAACAACCCCAATTCATAATAAAAAATAACTGTAATAGTATGCTTTCGTCAAAATGTTGTAATTTTATACTTATAAATAGAAATGCCTTTCATCGAAAATAAGAGTAGAATGGTATTGCTTTTTGAAAAAAATAAAGCCAGATAATACTGCCTCGCAACAGGTTTCCTTTTATGAATATAATTATATAGTATTAGGCGACTGATAACGCCAAATAATACATTTCGGTGAATTTGTGTTTATTCTACTTGCATCACTGATCAAGCTTATTATTATGAACAGGGGCGGTGGTTTACCCTTACATACAAAATCAAACAGTTTAAACAAAAATGTAATTGTAACATTTATACATATATCATTTTAAATAATTGGAAACTGGCCACTGGTAGGCTTTTTAGCCTTTGCCGATTCCCCCACATCCTCATATTTTACAATATTTTGATTTGATATGTTTTTGTTGTTGGTGTGTTTGCGTTAGTTGAAACGTTTTTTAATGTAAGTTATCGTCCCATTTTATGTCACCATGTACTTTATGTAAATTTAATAAATGTATTTTTCCTTTGTTATGTAATTTTCAATGTAGTAATAATGTACTTGCTGTTTTTTTTAATGAGATGTGGAACAAATAAACTTGAAAATTGAAACGTGAATGCCATACATTACTCTAATTTTAATAATCTTATCTCTGTGTTTGTTTTTCATAAGAAATATATTCCAGCCCATTTGTATCGATGCTTGTATGCTGCCATCTCGATACCTTGCAAAAATAATCCTATCTCCTGCTATAGTATCTCTTTCCACCGGAATATAATGAAGATCTGATATAGCTAGCGCCATCTTATGTAAGAT